TGAAAAATTTATTAAAATATCTGTGACAAACGCTTAAAATGAAGAAGAATTACCATGGGCAAGTGTAGGTATGTATGTTTTGAAAATATGTACTTAAAAATTTTTAAAATACATATATTTTATTGCTAAACATCCGAAAATTTATGTAAATACTAAAGGATCTGCCATTCTTATATTTCTTATAAGCATATATACATACATGTACCTAATGTTCGAAAATTTTATATTATAATTCTAAAAACAATTTAAATTATTAAATGTTAATTATTTTGTGTAACATATGGCATAGAATTTTTCTTGAATAAAAATTCGTAATTTATTAGAAAATGAATAATACTGTTGTTACTTTATGGTTAAACCGCATTTTCTTAATTCGGATTGCGGTATTTTTTTTTCTATATATGTACATACGTACATACATAGGTACGTTTTCATCTTTATTATTAATATTAACATTAAAATTTGGCAATGAGTTTCATTCAATAAGGAACGAGTCACGTTCTGTTAAAACATTTTGCCGTAGAATAACTTTTATAAAAATATTTTAATTTGTAAATTATTATAATATTTAAATATAATTTGATTTTAAATGACTAGAAGAATAAAAACAATATTTTTTTGGTTTTGTATTTTGAATAACGTTGGACAGTTCCTAAGTAGAATATTAAAAAAGCTCATACCTAATTAGTCATAGTTTTTGATTCATATACGACAAGCTTGTTATTTGCATATGTACATACATATAGCTCATGTCTGCGATTCGAATATGAATGAATTTTTTGTTGTTTTCCTTTAATGATGATAAGTAAATTAAAATAAATTTTATTTTTATGAATGATAAATTTTTACTTATATCTTTTCAGCATTTCTTATTTTAGAGGACATATGCGACATCAGATATTCATTCTTTATCTTATCGGCAATTTTACTTTTTATTTTCAAACTGTACATGGGGTCTAAAAGCCACAATTTGTATACGAGTTCTATATATGTATGTATGTATACAATAGAACTTAACATATTATTGAAATATCTAATATTGTTAAGATACAAAAGTGAAAAGCTTGACATTTTTGCACGAAATTAGTTTGTAAACACGTTTTGTATAGGTGCCTATATACATTCGTCTTATTCGTCATACCAAAGAACACCATTTTTATTTGATTGGGGTTAAGATAAGCGAGTTTTGAATAAAATTCCTGTGGTGTTAGTGATCTTTGAAAGTTTTGAATTATTTCCAGGAGATGATGATATAATTGATGAAATTAGAAACTATAAAAAATTTTTGAATTATAAATAAAATTTCTTGGAAAGTTTAGGTTTTAAATTGTAAATTTTTGTGGGTTCTACAAAATTTATTATATTTTTGGTTTAAATATGTATATAAAGTTGCAAAAATATTAGAAGATGAACTTTTATATTTTGTTGTTATATAATGATGCGGTTTGAATACTAAGAATTGAAAATTTGGTATTACACATAAATCTAAAAGGTATTCAAATTTAATTTTAACGTTAAAAGAAAAATTAAAAACAATAATAATCCTTATCATTATTATTTTCAGATGATTGGTGAGATCAAGAATTTGGCAATGATTTTGCAAGCGTTACAGATAGGGCATTATTTAATCCGAATATGCGACTATCTGGTGTTTAATAAAATTATAATTTGCGAAAAAGGAGATTAGTTTCAACCAAATTTAGAATATGCTATACGATATACTATGGTGATATATTTGGAGCAACACGAAATATCATATTGTTTAGTAAGTACACTTCTAAATGATTTGTTTAAATTAAATAAATTAATATTATAAACTCAAAAATCTTATGATTTTACTATTTTATATTAATGTAATAGAAAATTCTTTTTTTCGAGTATATGTAAGTAATTATGAGATTTTCTCTTTAATCGATTAATGTAATTTTTGCTATAAGTGGTGTGTATTTTTTGGGTAACTTTTAAGTTATTGTCACAACTTTCAATACAATTTTTAAATGTAAACAAGTTGGTAATCTTTTTTTAAATGACAATCAAATACGTTAAATAAAATCAAAAGAATATCCGACCCTAGGATAATTATTATTTAATAGTTGAATGAAAGTGGCAATGAACTTAAATTTCACTTTACCCGCCAAAATCCCTGATTAAATATTTTTTCTTCCATAACAATACTATTCTTCATATACATATTATATATAAATGAAAAGCAAATAAAATAAAACTCTTTGACTAATGAGAACTACAATTTTGTAGTTCAAACATTTCATTTGTTATTCTTTTTATGTATTTTTGCTGGTTTTCTATTTCAATGTTAATGATCTTACAATATTTAGATTCTAGAGAGTTGTGTATTACACTAAAAGAGATTGTTTATTACACTAAAATTTTACAATATTACAATGATTGTTGTGTTCTTCTCATTACTCACCATCATCGTGTCTCTTATGTACATTTGTACTATGACATTTCTACTTATATAATTAGTTCATATGATCTTGCTTTAGGGGATCACAAATATTAAATATTTTTATTCTTCTCTATACGTTATTAGAGTCTTGTTTTGGGTACAGTGTTTACAGATATTATGTACCTATGTAATATCTTATGTACACACAATTCAAAGTAAAAATAAATAGTTTCGTAGTGGGGTTTAGAAGGAGTAAAAAAAATAGAGTGATGATTTAAAAGAAGTGAATGACTCAAAGAATTATTAATATAAGTATGTATGCACATAAATACTTATATTAAAAATGCCTTATGTTAAGATTAAAATGCTAAAATTAGATTTTTTTTTTATTGTTATGTAAATAAAACTGTTATATGTACGTTTATTTATATGAAGCATAAAACTATTAAAAAATACAATACTATAAAAATAAATTTTTTGCTGACACTAGATTTTTCATTTAATGAAATGAACCGATTAAAATTGTGGTCTTGTCACACTAATTCATCATATTATCCAATTATATATATTTTCTATTCTTATGTTTTGTTCATATATACAAAATTATATAAGAGAATTTTCTTTTTAACCCATAAATATTCGAAAAATTTCAATTTCAAAGCATAAAAATTTAAATGCGATCTTGAAAATTTAAAGAAGAAAAATGCTTTAGTTTTTTAAGTAATATTTATTTTTATTTAATTTTTTTATTGTTTTAATGTGTAAACATAAGATTTTTTTCCTTACTTTTTTTTTATACTAATTTCAATGCTTTTCCTCTTAAGCTATTCGAAAATTGTGTACATTTTTAGTATAACGCGCTCTGTTTCGTATTGTTTCTGAAATTTAATAAAAAAAAAATTGTGTACGTATAGTAATACAAACGATTCCATTTAATTATTACATTTATGAATACACTTCTATGGTTGGCATTGAAAATAATAAATTACAGTGTTTCTTACTTTAAAAACATGACAAAGTTTTGTAAGTGATTGCGCTACTGCGCCATTAAAATACGAATACAATTTACACGAGTTGCTTTCATAACGGTAAATAATTTATAGACAATTTGAAGATTTATTTCTCAAACGTCTGTGTACCAGTCCAATTTATTATAATTTATTTAAAGTACTGCGGCTGATCTGAATTATCATAATAACCCCAATAGAGACATGGTTCACATCATTTCTGTTCCTTCAAGTAACTTGTATTTCAGATAAGTTCTAATACGTAGCATATATGTATGTATACGTTGCAAAATGTTTTGAACCATTTTAATTTTAGAGTAATTTCGGAAATTATTCTTATTTTAATTTTACTTGGTTCTTGACTATTTTTCAAATTTTGATTGAAGATTAAGAATCACTGATATTTATACTAATAATATTATAATAATTCTAAAAGATATTATGAGTTATTGTTCAAATAATGAAGTAAACATGTTGAAAAGGCCAATGACTTTAATATTGTTACCGTAATAGATTTCGTATACCTAGTATGGAGTACATGAAACAAAAAAAGAAAATCAAACACACACATTTGTACATGAATATATTAAACATTAGATCAAGAATATTAATTGAAATATTCTCAAATTTTTTGTATTTTTTTTTTATTGAAATAAATTTTGAAAATTTCCATTTTCTTTTTAGAATTTATTTTCACGAACACTTGCCTTACTATATTGATTTTATGCTTCAATATTTTTTTAGCAAATATTTTAAAGTCTTAATGAGGTTATGTTGAAGTCAATTTAATTTTGCAAATATTCTGTTTAGATAGTGAAGAATTTAGATAAACCTATTTTAAAAATTTACGATTTAAAATTTTTTTATATTTAAATGTTTGAAAAATTGAGGTTAAAAAATTTAATGACATTTACCTATAAATTATAAAGAGAAAGAGAAACAGATAATTATGAAGTTTATACGAATATTAAAGAAATGTGTATTAAGAGTTTCGAGTTAATTTCGAAATTAAAATAATTTTGAAAATTAAATAAACGAATTAGATTATTTAAAACTAAGCTAAATTAGAAAATTGTGCAGTCACAATGAATTTGACATTTCAGAACTTTGATTTAACTAGAATTGATCTTATGTCAATGTCATTATAGTTAGAAATATTAATCAATATTTTTTATGTTAAATTAGCAATTTTTTAACATTTAATTATATTTTGGATTTTTTAAATTGAATTTTGAATTTTATTTTGAAAAATTATTCAATCAAATCAAAATTTTTCCTTTTTCTAAATTAATTTACTGACCCAAATAAATTTTTTTTATGGGAAAGTTATATAAAATATTTTCAACGATATAGAAAATTTTCTTTAGTATTTCCTTTACTACACAATAATAATAAAACTATAGAAGTATAGATGAAACTTTATACTAATTCAAATTGAAAAATGGAAAATATTTTTGAAAGTTAAAGTTACTATTCTTGTTATGCTACATAAATATTTTATGAAATATTTTTTAATGAAATTTTTTTAACTGCTTGTTTTATGAAATTTTAAAAATTGTTTTAATTTTTTTTTTTCTTTCCAGAGAAAAACTATAAAATGCAACGCGTGACATTTAACTTTTACTGCAATTGAAATTGTAAAAAGTAAAGAATAATCATAAAACTTCAAAATGCATGTAAGTATAACAAAATTTATGTCCATATATACATTTTTATATAGAGGCTATAAGGTGTGCCTGTGTATTGTAAAATTAGAAAAATATAAAAATGTTATTAAAATAGGAAACGAAATGAGAGTTAATATCCTTGAATCATTTACTATTTTCGAAATTATATAATAATATAATGTAGTAAAACTTATTTGGAATTATTACAGAATAATATCATATAATACTTATAGCATTTCAGGAGGGAGCTATTTAAAAATTATATTTGAACTCCATATACTTACTAATAATTTATAATATAATTATATCGATATTAGACATATAATCCCCATACATTTGCAATAAAAATGTACAAATATTAGTAGAAAAATAAATTAATTTTAGGTTAGATTTATAAATATGTATACGTACATAATTTTTAAATGTTTCGTGTTTACGCGATTAAATTTATGATGAAAATACTCGTATAAGGCTAAACCATTTGAAAATTATTATTATTGCCAAATAGGTTTTAAAAGTAATAATAATTTTAAATATATTTTTTAATGGTACTCATAAATATTGTATAGTTATAGATATATATTCATATGTACATATATGTATGTATATGAGAAACATGTCAAGCTAAAATTTTAGTGTTAAATTTTAGTTTACTTTAAATTAGTTGATATATGAATTTTCTAACAATTCTCAAGAGTTTCTGAAATTTTCAAATATTTTGCATTCTTCGAAATCTAAAGATTTTAAACAAATAATTTCGTATAAAAGTTTTAAAAAAGCAACGCAATTTTCATATAAACGAAGACTTTACTTCGTATATAGATAGATGATTCATCCCAAAAGTCACAAAGTTGATGATGAATATCGATAGCTGTGACTGATCTGTGGTTCATAAAGCTATTGATGATCAAATAAATGTTTGAACGATGAAATGTCAATTTTCTGCATTATGAATGTCTACTAGGACTGTAAATTTCAATTAACATTTTATTTAACAGTGTCATCTTAAATTTTCTATACTTTTAATCATTGAATGCCACTAAATGTACACCAACCTGTTTCTATATGAATGATTTTAAATTTTGAAAAATAATTTCAAAACTCATTGCCTTTTTTTTTTTATCTCTGTCCACCTTTTTAGTTAAATTTGATTTAGTAAAGCAAACAATGTCCATATACACAAACACATTATGTACTTTAAATAAAATTAATTTCATTTTAATGTCCTTAAAGTTGAAAAATTATTATTATTAAAAAAAAAGAAGGAAATAAGAAATTATTAATTTCCATTTCTCTCATTTCCATTTTAATAGATTTTATTTTTTTTTTTTCAAAAATATTGCATGCCATGTTTAGTGCATTGTACTTTTAAATCATTGATTTTTTTTTTTCAAGTGTTCTTTTTAGCTTTGCAATTTTCCGAAAAAATTATTAAAAATTTTCTTTTTCTGACTTTTTCGGTATATAAAAAAAAATCCTGTTGATTATCCTTATTTTTTAAAATAAATTATAAATTTCGTTTTTTTTTCTATAGAAAGAGAAAAGAAGAGTTAAAAAACAGACGAAAATTTTCACAATCAATAAAATTAAAATTTATTTTTAATATTTTTTTTTGTATTTTTTTAACAAAGAGTTTTGACTCTTTAAGTTTTATTTTATTTTTTTTTTATTTAAACTCCCCAATGAATCAAAACAGAGGTTTTTCATTTCCGAAAATTCATTAAAAGGTTGACCATTATTTTAATTTTATATATGAAAATTTTATTTTTCTTTTTTTTTTTTTTTCTCTCTCTTTTATTAACTGGAACATTGCACACATGTACTCATATTTGTATAACTATATCAGTTATATATTATAATACTCAGCTATATATTAATTGTGTTCGATGTATATCCTTGCATATAATATGCATTATATATAAAAATAAATTCATTTATTGTTCTTTCGTCACACATAGTGCAGTTATATAGCCTTTGTATTCAAATGCATGACCGATGACATAATGAGGTTATCTGCCCTTTAATATATTCATACTCGTAGGTATATAGTGCATACAATATATATTTTGGGTTCAATTCATACTTTATATTTGTACATTTTTTACAAGTATAACATGATTTTCAAATAAACTCTGTAAGGATATAAAGTCACAGTACGATAACCAAATAAATATATTTTGTATAGGTTATCGTAATTATACGTGCACTTAAAAATTTTCATATATATTATATAATATTTACGAGTATATATACAAGCTTATATAATTTATATTAACATTTTATAACTATTTTATTTTTATATTGTTTTTATTTTTTTTTTTGTTATTTATAGTAAAAATGCATTGAATATTCTTACATGGTTTTTTGTTTTTGTTTTCATTATACGTTAGTTATGCATAAGTCCCCAAATCACATAAGGTATATAGCGTATAAATTCCAGTACAAGGACTTCTTATACTTATTATTAAATAATAATAATAAAAAGAAATAAAAACAAATTCATATGGATGATAAAATGTAAAAAAAAAGAAGGATAATTTTAAAAACGAGTTTAGAATGAATTGAAAATTTATTTGTTGTAAATAAAAATATAGAATAAGATTTAGGGTAATAGGACTCAATAGGATTCCAATTCACATACATACTGCACGCGTGTATATTATTATGTTATATTATAATATTCAATAAATGGGGGGAAAACAATACTTGTGCTTGCATACGTACGTATATACATATGTACATTTATTGTAATATGTAAAATATTCGAAGAAGAAAAAAAAATCTTGAATATATTGGTAGTATATTTACTGTGACTTCTATATATTATTTAACATACCTTCAAATCATTTATTACAATGCACATACGACAAATGTACAGATACAACTGTGTATTATTTGCAGTAATATTAGATATATTATTGTGTATATATATAAATATATATGTATATTAATTTAAAAATTAGAACATCTTATGTTTAGAGTATACGTACGTACATACGTTACGTATATATACGTATATAACGTACATATGATCTGTGATGCAGGTTATTAGGTTTTTTGTTTGTGTCATAAGATTCATTGAATTTAATTAAGTGATTATTGAGTTAGAAAATATTTTTATATCGAATGCAAAATATTTTATAATTTTTTTTTTTAGGTCAATTTCTATAAGAATTAATTTTCAAAATAATAAAAATAATAATTATTGCTGTGTCATATGTAAAGTTTTTTTGTTTATTTTAAATATATTATGAAATCTGTATTTGTTATTTGAGAATTTTTACGAATAAATTTAAAGAAATTAAATTATTTACTTACTAAATTTATCCTATTAAATTCATTATTTTTCATTTAATTTTGTCCCATATTGTTATGTAATGGCACAATTTGCAATTTCCGTGAATTATGCTATTTCATTTGATTCATGCTAACTTATACGTGCATAAAGAAAAAAATTTGTTTGTCAAAGAACCCCTTCTATCGTACATGTATGTAGAGCCAGAAATCAAAAAACTTTATTAATTTCTAAACGATAATGAAAAATTTCACATATAATTTTGGCGTATGGAACAATTTAGACCGCAATACATGTTATGTAAATAAATTAATTTTAAATTTAGAAAATCTTATTAATTTAATATTAAAATTATGTTAAAACTCAATTCTTCTAAAATTTTATATTTTTTTATATAATCATATTTAATTATGTATATGAAAATACTGCTAAATACAATTTAAACACGCATATATATACATACATTTATTTGTATTTACACTCATTTCATCAATATAATTTTCCGGAACCTTCCAATATTCTGATTAATATTCCCTTTCTTTTCCATTCTGGTTTAATATTAATTCGAGTTCATTATGTAATTGTAGGTCTTCTGATAATTTGTTAATTATAAATTAAGCATATATTTAAGGATTAATACATACATACATACATACATTTTACAAAAATCAAAAAAGGATCAACAGGGAATTGATATAAGCGGTTATGTTGAATACCGGCAATTTTTATTTCCATTGTAAGTATGTATACATATCTACATACATAGTGGCTAAGAAAAAAATCATTCTCACCAATAAAATCGTCTAGCTTTACTATACATAGATACAAAAATTATTTATGTACATTGTATATATTAAAAATATGAGAAATTTTTCTCATTTATTATACACGATTTTTAGTTTGGAAATTTTTACTCATATCTAAAACAATTTTAACTCAATAAAATTCTCCACGAGCTTTTTTTTTCTATATGTATAAGAAAACATAAACTATGTTGAATATTGTATTGCTTGTAATGAGTTAAAATATGTTGATACTGTCACCATGTTGTATTTCCGTTATACAGTAAAACTTTTTGAGTTAAAATTTGAATAAAAAACAGAGAATGAGATATATATATTGAGTGACAAAATATTACTACTCATAAAATTATCATCAACTCACAATTTATTTCCTTGTTCCCCTTTTAATAAAAAACATTTAAAAAAAAATTGTGGTATTGGTGTTTCTTAATGTTGTAAATTTTGAATTAGGAATTGCCGCTTTTTTAAAAATAAGAGAGTAGCAAACAATTTTCTTTTTTGAGAATTTTATGCGTACAATTTCAAGATATTCAATGATTTGTATTAAATTCAATAATATTACTCAAAATATGAAATTCATTCTACTTTCTTTTTCAATAGTTTTTTTTAAATGAAACTTTAAACTAATCGGATTTCCGCTGAAATTTCTCATTTACGTTATTTTCGTACAAAAATTGAATATTACATACTATAAGTGACAAAATTTGAAATTTTAGTAAGCGTCAAATAATGTTTCCTTCAGGGTTGAAATTTAAAATGACTTCTATGAAATTTTGAGAAATCTGTAAGAGTTAGTATTACAAAAATTACGATTTAAAATACATATTTAAATACATACTTCTAGGTAGATTACCGAATATTGTCGGTTAAGAAGCAGAAAGCATTAAGTCAGGAAACAGTCTTTTGAGTAAATTCAATTTGAAAAAATCGTAAAATTGTAAAACTAATCAATTAGTGCAATGTTATCGGTCTCTTTAATTTCTAAATTATATTCTAGATTTGCATGATTTTTTGCCACAACAAAGAATATATTTTTCAGATTTAATTCATCTGGATACTTCGAATTCTCAAAAAATGCACTTAGTGCTTTCTGCCTTTTAACCGACGATATTTATGTACATATATGGTTTTACCATTAATAATAATAGTTTTCTTGTGTGACATTTTATAATTATTATTCCTTTAAATAACCAATGTATAAAATAGTACTACATTGTAACTAAGTAGTTAATTTACTACATATATTGAAAAACTATAAAAAGAAAACTTTAAATATTCTTATTTCAATTCCATTTTATTTTACAGTTTCACCAATAAACTAAAGAAATTCACCACACCCAGACATTTTTCAACAATAAAAATAGCCGGCTTCTATTTTATTATGATATTATTATGAATTTTATATTATTATGTGTATGCAGGGAATGCAGAAGGAAATTACAAAAAAAAAAAAAATTAAAACAAGAAACAAAAAGAAAAACAAAAGAATAAAAAATTCTTTTAATGGTACTTTGCCTGCTTGGTAAAACGGTAGAAAAACTTCTCTTCATCATTTGAGTTCTGTAGCTCTGAGAGAAAGGTTCTAAATAATTTTAAAATATTAAGAAGAAAATATTTAATTCACGGTTATTTTAAAATAAAATTATTTATATTAATAAACGGTAATTAATAAAGTTTTAAAGAGAAAAATTAATAAAAACCGAATTAATCATTAAAAATTTTGATTATAGATTTCTAAGATCGTAATTTTTCTTGGAAAATTTCATCAAAATTGATTAAGCGGTCAAATAAATTTGATTTTATAAAAAGATTGTGTTTTATAATTGAAATTATAGACAACAAACCAGAAAAATAAGAAAAAAAAATTAAAAGCGAATAATTTTTATAATCAAAAAAATTTTTTAAAAATAACAAAAAAAAAATCAAAATAAAAAAAAGTGTTAGAATTTTTTATTAAATTTGCTGAGCTCGTAAAAATTTCTTAAATAAATTTTTTTTGTTGTTTAATTAAAAATAAAATAATTAAAATAACAAAAAATTGTTTTTTTTTTTTTTATTGGAATTTAATTCTGTAATTCAAATCGGTAGGAGAAAAAAATTATTATAATAAAAATTCACTTAATTCGGAAATTTGAGAATTCAAGGCTCATTATTTTTAATTAAATTTGAAAAATTTTCAAATATTGTGTGTGAGTTTAATACAGAAAAATTATAATTAACATATTATAAATTTTTGTAAAAATCAAAATATTTTAAAAATTTCTAAAATCAATTAAAAAATTTTTGGAAAAATAAAAGAAAAGAGGAACAAAATTTCAAGAAAAATGGAATACAACTATAAAATCTATTTATTATTTGGATTAATTCTTGTTGGATTAATTAATCAAGGTAAAAATTAAATTAATTAAATAAATTTTTAGATTTTTCATAAATTTTAAATTGAATTTTTATGTTCTACGATTTATAAAAAAAAAAAAAAACTTTTTATTTCAAGGCTGGGAAAAGTGGCAAGAATTTTTGAATGAAATGTCTTAAGTGTTTACATAATAATTATATGTGTATTATGGAAAAATATCCTTGATTTTGCAAATTTAAGAGGCATTTATAATCTAGCTTTTATCATATTTTAAAATTTTTTTATTATGCATAGAAAATTTATATTAGAATACAAAAAAAAACTTTTCTTTGCAATTATTTTTCAACAACTTAGTTTTAATTAGCATAACGAAAGCAGTCAAAAAAACTTTTTATGGGCAAGCTTTAATATTTAATTGGCGGCTTTTTGTTAAAGATCTTCTTGATATTTATTATTTTTTCGTGAACTTTTAAAATTTTTAATAATAACTGGAAAATTATATTGTTTTAAATGTGTTGAAGTACATACATATAAATGTGTACGTATACACATAATAATTTTATTAATTTTAAATTATGGAAAAATATTTTTGAGTAATTTTTTTGAACTTCGCACATTAAAGATAAAGTGTAAAGTGGCCCAGGGGGGGGGGGGGGGGGGGGGGGGGGAGGTGGTATAATAATTTAGTATTCTTGGGTATTATAATATTATAATAGTATAGTCAATTTAAGGTATGATTTACGATAATGCTAATTGACAAAAATTGCGTTTGCAAAATAGAAATTTTTGTAAACCAAAATTTTTTTTGCAAAATGTTATAAAGTTTATCACTACGTAACATAATGTGGCCAAAATTTTCCAATATATCAGTTTGATTTGTACCTTAAAATGAATTGTGTTCAAAATTTTAAGAAATAGGAAATTACAAATTTAATAATTGAAATATTAACTGTAAATTTAATAAAAAAGACAGAATTTTTGGGCTACAATAAAGGAACGTAAATTTTTTTTCCATATTTACTCGGTTTCATTTCCTTTACTGTATTATAATATTTAACTTTTGAATTATGTTAAATTATTATTTATATTAGAAAAATGTTTCATTGCCACAAAATTAAATCAGAGATGCTTAAAATATAAACCTTTACTCTTTATATTAACGAATTTATGAGCATATAGGAAGTACACAAATTTTTTTCAAATTGAAAAAATGAACACTTCCGTAAATCTTTGTATTTTTTTTATAGAAAAATTTTCTATTTATTTTCCCAACAACAAAAATAAATAATTTGTTTGTTTTTTATTTCCAATTCTCAGTTTACCCTTTAATTTTTCTTTACTTTTACCTACCTATTAACCTCAAAATTATTTAACAAATAATTTAACATACACATTCAATTTTATTATTTGCTACTGTTTACTACAATTTACTCTTAAATTTCCAATTGTTAAAATCTTTTCTCATTTTCTTTTATAAAATATCGTTTAAGAAAAAGTGAAAAATTTAACACCTTTGAATGTCCAATAATCATGTAAAAAAAAATTAAAAAAATGTGTTGTGCAAATTAACCTTCTTTTTTTTTTTTTGTTTGTTGTTTGGATGTGAAAATTTTTAAGGTGAGTCACGAAAATAATAAAGGTGTAACTTATAATAATAATATAATGTGTGTATAATATAGTTTATGTACTTTTATTTAAAAAAGGTAAATTACATATTAATAATTTATTAAAAGGTATACTTTTAATTTGTTACCTCATTTTTTGTTAAAATTCACTACATAGATATATCAGATGTCAGATAATTTACTGAGTATATAATGCGTGTGTTAATTTATACTTTATTTAATATGGAGATGATGTATCAGCTATATATATTTGAACTTTAATTTCATTGACCTTATTTTAATGAGATTCATTTAAAATAAATCATCACACAGAAAATTATAACTTTATTATGTACATTTTTAAGTCGTTGATTATCTTTGTTCCGCTATAACTTTATGATGTGTTAAGATGAAATTTTTTGTTTGAAATTAAACTTGTTACATACATATTTCTGAATATATAGAAAAAGTAGAACTTTTTGTACGGTTAATAAAATTGATATAAGTACAGTTATATTATAAGGTTTGTTTAGTCACTTCCTATATCGCCAATGCAATCTTATTTTAGATTTTTCAAGAGGGCTATTAATTTTAATTACGTAAGTGCATAAAAATCTTGTACAGTATTGTGGATTCTAGATACAACTAAACGATCGGCTGTAACCCCTGGGATTAATAGTGTCCCTTTTTTAAATGTAAGGCACTATCATGCCCCAGTTCTCTTAATAAGCTTGGGAAAGTCAAAGAATACTGTCGTCCCATGCATATATTGAAACAAAATTTCTCATCTTTTACTGATCAGTACTCCACAATCCCCCGAAAGATAATGTTCTATGGTCCCGCCTTCTTCCCGAAAGTAGACATAAGCATTGTCATGTCATGATTATCGGCCAATCTTACCATTTTCTTATACCGCCTTGAGCATATAATCTCTAAAAAATCCTTACGGATATTGTTGCCTTAGCAAACTTTCGTAATTCCTGCCATCTAAACTTAATAATTTTTTTAAATTCTTTCCGAACTTCATTCTTTATTTTACAAAGAAATTACAAAGAATAACTCGTTTTGTTTTTTAAAAATAATACATACATACGCAAAAAATTTTTCGAAATATATGATATGATACAATTTCCTAATTTAAAATTTTAATATTAAATTACTATTTATTACCATTTGCAAGCAAATATGAGATTATTCAATTCAAGAACATTATAAATCAAATATTTTATAAGAATCATCTAAGTATAAATATGTTAAATACGAGTGGGCCTTTTAATTTTAAGAATTATGAGGATTTAAAATATTGTTTTACTTGTAACACATAAATTTAGTTAATTTTTTTTTTCATATTTCCTCTAACCCTACTTAGCGGAGGCGAAATACTATTATAAACTTATATTAATGCTGCAAAAGAAAATCATCTTGCATGACACAATTTTTTAATGTGCTACATTATTTATAAATAAGAGTTGATTAAATAAATTTTAATGTGTAAATATAATTTGCTCTTTGGTGATAATTTAAAGTGTTATGAATATTTGGGATAAATATTATATATTTTTTCTTAAATTCAATATGAAATTTCTTAAAGAATTTCTCAATTATTATCAAATTCAATGTCAATTTAAAGGGTTTTTTGTCTATACTTAGTTTTGATTTAAAAATAATTTGAGTATTATTGCTGCTTTAGCTGAATTTTTATAGTCTAAACTTTTATTACATTCTAATTATTTTGTTATTAATTATTTATTTTCTTTTTTTTTTTAAATTATAGCAATTAATTTTTATAATGAGCAATTTAATTTTAAATTATAAATTTAGAAATATAATTATAGATGCTCATTATATAATGAGCTGTTGAACTTTATTAATATGTTGGATAGGTGTGTCAAGTTTTAAAAATTTAAAAATATAAATAATTATAATATCTATAATTATAATTAAATTAATAATTAACATCCAATTAGGTTATTTATATACCTAGAATCTTTTGAAACATATAAGCTTTTTGATGGCACGTAACGTATGCTCATAATTTTCATTCACAATAGTTTTTTTTGATTTGATGACATTTCAAATTTGTATGCGTCATAATTTCATTAATACTTAGAGGATACTGTATAATATTAAAATTCTTAATATCCGGAGTGATGCTGTTCAGTACAACATCAATGAAATTGATAACCAAAAACTACTCTTAAAAAACGAATCGGAAATTGCTTTAATAACAGATTTTTAATGAAATCTCAAATTCTGTTATAATAAACTTCATTGATAACTGTATTATCATGATGTTCTCATTTTCAACAATTTTTATTAAGATACAAACAGTTATTAATGTATCGAGCAAAGATTAAATTCATATGCACATTGATTGTGAACATTAAATTTAATCTTTGTTTGATAAAGAGCTTATATCTTTGCTTAATGTTATTCTATTATTTTGTCATATATTTTGCAATAAATGACTGTAACTATCGGACAACATGATCACAAACACGATAATTTTTTTTTTTTTTTTTGCTTGCCATAACTCCTAATATACCAGCATTTTTAATATTTTTTTTATTGTTTTAAACAAAAGATTTTATGGAAATGTAAAAGAGCATGCAAATATCAAATTCCCAACACATTTTACGTTTCAAAAAGGTGAAAAAAAAAAAAAACAAAATAAAAAAAAATCAAGGATATTTGCAGCTGATCATGCGATCATGGTGTTACCCTATTGTCATGATGATCTCATTTAACAAAATTTCTTAATGTTTTTTTTACGTTCTTTTCTTTGCTTGTTATTTTACTGAATAATTTTATATAGTTATTCAGTATAGATTCATTGTAATTTTATGCATTCGTCACATATACAGTAGGGATGAAAATTAAGTTCACATAATAATAATATATTAGTTGTTATCACATTCATGCTGCTTTTATCTCAATTTTTACAAATATGTAAATTATTAACTTGTTCCTTTGGCTCAGTTATTCATATGTTCTGCAGTTGTTTCACCAAATTTTCTTTATTTATGCCATCTAAATTATTTTTACAATCTTGAAGACGAAATTTTATGTGCTAACATATGTGTAGACTGTCATTCATAAAATTTCTGAAAAAATATGTTCTTTTAGTTTCCGTTCCGGATCTACTCCAAAATATAGATTAAAAAATATTTTGCAGTTGTTGTTTGTCCTCGACATTAGGAAATGTCGGAAATACCTTTCGGATAGCCAGTAAAAAGAAACGTCAGATGTTGACGAATTATGAGTATAATAAGAGAAATTTTCATTATTTGAAATATTAAAAGCAGGAGATTATTTAGAAACGGACCATGTTTATACAGTTAATATTTCCCATTGTGTGTGATGTAATGATCTGCATCTTGCATTGAAAAATCACAGTTGAGCTCTCTTTGCTTAACAATTGCTCTACA